GCCGCCAGCAGCAGCCACCACTGCCACCGCCCCTCACACCACACCACCACCATTCCTCACTCTTTGCTTGGGCATGGCTCTCTCCCTGCTGAAATCCCCTGTTATATCCCCTAGTACTTAGTCTCGGTTTAGGAGCTGAGGGAAAGTTAGGCCGAGACTTTAAAGCCACCCAAGGCAATGACCCAGATGTCCTTTCTGGAATGGCCCTTCTTTGGCCTGTCGAGGGCCTGCTGGAGCCAGCCAAGAGAACTTGCAGAAGGAAGAGATGAGGATTAGGGCTGATGCTAATACTAAATTTATCAGTTTATAGAAACAGGCGATGTCTGGGCTCCTATTAAGAGTTGATTTTGATTTTTGCAGTGTTTTCGCAGACTGACAGGTAGCCCAGGGAGGCAATATCACCTGACAGAAGAGGAAACCGAGGTTCCCTTTAGAGTGGGGAAGTGACTTACCCAAGGTCACACAAATCTAAGCCTGCCTCAAGGTCACAAGGGAATTTTGAGGTTCAGAATTTGCCTATAATGTGAACACAGACATCTGTTTTTCCTACATGCCTAGGTTCCTGTTGAGTTCTGTTTACAGTCAGATCTTTGAACAATTCCTAATATGGCCCACTTTCTCTCATCCAGTATGTTGGATGGAGCCCAGCATCTTCTGCCCCAGCTGGGCCTGGGCCCCCGAAGGAAGGCAAAAATGATTCTATGTGACATGCCTCCCTTTTTTTCTGTCTGTCCAGGATGGGGAACCCCCTCGGCAGCGAGTGACTGGGACTCTGGTCCTTGCTGTGTTCTCAGCTGTCCTCGGCTCCCTTCAGTTTGGCTACAACATTGGGGTCATTAATGCCCCACAAAAGGTAGATCTACAGCTGTCAGGGGGAGAGTACTTGGAGGCGGTGGAAGGAGAAGGGTCTCTAGACTCATTCCTATGTTGTCCCCCAGGTGATCGAACAGAGCTACAATGCAACATGGCTGGGGAGACAGGGTCCTGAGGCAGCCGGTTCCATCCCACAAGGCACTCTCACTACACTTTGGGCTCTCTCCGTGGCCATCTTTTCTGTGGGGGGCATGATTTCTTCCTTTCTCATTGGCATCATTTCTCAGTGGCTGGGAAGGTATGGAGCTGGAGAGCAGGGATAGGGAGGAAGGAAAGAGGGTCATAGCATGAGTGCCCTGACCAGCTCTCCTCTTTGTGTGCCTGCCAGGAAAAGGGCTATGCTGGCCAACAATGTCTTGGCAGTGCTGGGGGGTGCCCTCATGGGCCTGGCCAATGCCGCTGCCTCCTATGAAATACTCATTCTCGGACGGTTCCTCATTGGCGCCTACTCAGGTACCCATGGGTGCTGTGGCTCTACTCTGTGTTCCTATTGTCCTTAACCATGTATGGACTTCTGTAAGGGAATATGCAGCTACCCTCAGCCCTCTTTTCTTCCTTCTGCCCAGGGTTAACATCAGGGTTGGTGCCTATGTATGTGGGAGAAATTGCCCCCACTCATCTTCGGGGTGCCTTGGGAACACTCAACCAACTGGCCATCGTCATTGGCATTCTAATTGCCCAGGTAAATAGGGCTGGCCTATAGGGAGCTAGGAATAGGAGTTGGATTGGACATCCATGCTGGGCAGGAAGGAGACCACACACACCTTTATTGTCTTTCTACCTTCTCCCACAGGTGTTGGGCTTGGAGTCTATGCTGGGCACAGCTACCCTGTGGCCACTGCTTCTGGCTATCACAGTGCTTCCTGCCCTCCTTCAGCTGATTCTGTTGCCCTTCTGTCCTGAGAGCCCCAGATACCTCTACATCATCCGGAACTTGGAGGGGCCTGCCAGAAAGAGTGAGCTCTCGCCTTGCATATAGCCCCGGCGCACACCTCCACCCCATCTTGCTAGTACCCGGCCTCCTCTCAGGCTCCATAAGGCCTGACATTCCCCACCCCCAGGTCTGAAGCGCCTGACAGGCTGGGCCGATGTGTCTGATGCACTGGCTGAGCTGAAGGATGAGAAGCGGAAGTTGGAGCGAGAGCGTCCAATGTCCCTGCCCCAGCTCCTGGGCAGCCGCACCCACAGGCAGCCTCTGATCATTGCAGTTGTGCTGCAGCTGAGCCAGCAGCTCTCAGGCATCAATGCTGTACGTATGGAGACCCAGACAGACCATGGGTCAGGTACCAGCGTGGGGAAAGGGAGAAGGGAGCAGGTTATCGCCTCTATTAGTATTCAGGCTCAGTCCACTTTGGTGTGTTTGGAATGAAGGACAGACATCCCCGCCATTGTTTTTCTTGCTCTCTTACTCCTAGGTTTTCTACTATTCAACCAGCATCTTTGAGTCTGCTGGGGTGGGACAGCCAGCTTATGCCACCATAGGAGCTGGTGTGGTCAACACTGTCTTCACATTGGTCTCGGTAACTGCTTGCCCATGGAATGGACACATCACTGGTTTTTATAGCCTGGGTGTTTGTTCCCAACTGATCAGCCCTGCCCTCCTCCACAGGTGTTCTTAGTAGAACGGGCTGGGCGACGGACACTCCATCTCTTGGGCCTGGCAGGCATGTGTGGCTGTGCCATCTTGATGACTGTGGCTCTGCTTCTGCTGGTGAGGCCTAGGGGCTGTGAGGACACAGCAGTCTAAGCCATGGGAATAACCTCAAGAGACTGCGTGGCTGACTGTGTGCCAGGAACATGGGTGCTGGGTTCTAGAGTCTGTAGTCTGTGTGTCTCAGGTACCCTGGCCACACCAGGGCCTAGCATAGCACATGTCTAGCAGTCCCTATGAAGTCTCAGGAGCAATAATTCCCAAAGACACATCTTCAGAGCCAAGGGGGAATCAACCATTATAGGAACAAAAGACCGAAATATATCTCCACCTTAGAACTACCTGAGGTAGCCAACAAAATGGCAGCACTCAGACATGTTCCAGGGCAGCTCAATACTTGGGAGGCTGAGGTGGAAGGGTTACAAGTTCAAGGCCAGTCTAGGTAACATAGGGAGACCCTGTCTAAAAAGGGGGTGGACAGGGGATCCCCAAGACCTGTTCTAGCCTAGAATGGCAGCCTCCACCCAAGCCATGGAAAGGAGATTTCAGTTATCAGGGTCAAGGACAAGGGGAGATCTTAGAGAGGCCAGAACAAACTTTCTATATTCTTTCCCGGCCTCTAGGAACGGGTTCCAGCCATGAGCTATGTCTCCATTGTGGCCATATTTGGCTTTGTGGCCTTCTTTGAGATTGGCCCTGGCCCCATCCCCTGGTTCATTGTGGCCGAGCTCTTCAGCCAAGGACCCCGCCCAGCAGCCATGGCTGTAGCTGGTTTCTCCAACTGGACGTGTAACTTCATCGTTGGCATGGGTTTCCAGTATGTTGCGGTAGGTTCCCCTCCCTTTACCCAGTTTCATATTACCAGTGGCCAGAGAGGAGGCAACTCACCCCTAGTTCCCTTGCTATATGGCCAGGGACTCCCTTCCCAGTCCTACAGGTCGTTTCTGGATGGCCACTCTGGTGGAACTACACCAGAATCAAAAATCAAAGAAGTGGGTGGAAATAGGTGGGCGAGCAGCAGAGCTATCTTTTAAAAAATAAACAATGGTATAAATTAGACCAGAAATAAAATGATACTTTCTATTAATGCTATAAATGGTTTAGGAATCTACTCCAAGTGTACACTCTTAGGACAGCAAAGGGTGAAAAGCTGAAGAGGTTTTTCAATGTAAATTTTCATTTCTATTGCCTCTGGAAGGAGCCATCTGCTCCTTTAAGTAGCTCCAGCTCCTTATTAGTCTTTAGTTTCTGGTTTCCCACCCGTCAACACCTCTTTTTCCAACTGTCCCAGGATGCTATGGGTCCCTACGTCTTCCTTCTATTTGCCGTCCTCCTGCTTGGCTTCTTCATCTTCACCTTCCTAAAAGTGCCTGAAACCAGAGGCCGGACGTTTGACCAGATCTCAGCTGCCTTCCGCCGGACACCTTCCCTTTTAGAGCAGGAGGTGAAACCCAGTACAGAACTTGAATATTTAGGGCCAGATGAGAACGACTGAGGGGCAAGGCAGGGTGGAAGACCCACCCTCTCCACCCCCACAGCCCCCTCCTTTCCTCTGCAGCACTTTAGCCCTCTTTTCCCGTTTCCTCCAGGATGGAGGAAACTGCAGCCTGGAGAACTGGGAAGCTGAGGGAAGGGTGATTCAAGTACCCCCCTCATTCCCCTCCTGTGACTCTTGGATTATTTATGTGTTGTGGCTAGGCTGTGGTCACCCCATTTCCTATTCTGCCCTCCTGCCTTCCTCCTGCCCCTACTCAAGACTTGGCCCCAGAATACCTTTGTTCCCTTTAGAGGAGTGGACCTGCAGGAGGGGAAGTGCTGAGCTGAATTCAGTGGGATGAACAGGAACAGATATGAGCGATTTCCTACCAACTCTAACTCTGCCCACAATTTGGCACTTTCACTGAATTCTTGCCACATAAGATTCTGGGTGAAGGGGGTTCTGTCTTGACCCCTCCAGGGCAAAGGACATACCCTCCCAAAGTCTAGTCTCTCCTCAGTCTGTGTAGGCTCCACCTTCCAAGGCAAAGGAACACAACAGCAATTACCTGAACACAGCAAGGAGCAGTAGCAAGCATCAGTCTCTAGACTTGGGGCGATAGCCTGTTGTTCCCCAGGGCTGCCAAGTGTGGGTACCAGCTCTTTCTTATTCCCCTTCAGGAAGGGTGTTAGACCTGAAAGCTTTTGACCAACTAAGGGCAAGAGGGAATCTGAAAGGCTGCCTATAGACTGGTTGGGAGGGAGCCTTTGGATATTTTTGTATGTTTTGAAGAACGGGGTAGGGAGCAGAAACCCAAGGGCTGCTGTATTAAATGTATATAGAGATTTATCCATAAAGTCACTGTATGAAGAGGAGTGTCCTGTCGTGGAGGAACCGGAGGGTGGGCTAAGACAGGCAGATGCCTTCACCCACCCCTCTTCCTCTTTGCTTTACCTCGGCTCAAGGGCTCAAAAGTCTCTAAGAGTCTAGATTCTGCCAGTTATTCCTATCTACTTTTGTCACCCTGTTCAAAACAAAAAACAACAACAACAACAAAAAAAAAACAAAAAAACAGGGTCTCAATATACAGCCCAGGCCGGCCTTCAACTTATAGCAAGCCTCTTGCCTCTGCCTCCTAGAGTGCTGGATTTACAGTCCTGAATCCAAATACCCCACTTTTTTTTTTTTTTCAGACAAGGTTTCTCTGTGGCTTTGGAGCCTGTCCTGGAGCTTACTCACTCTGTAGACCAGGCTGGCCTGGAGCTCACAGAGATCTGCCTGCCTCTGCCTCCCGAGTGCTGGGATTAAAGGCATGTGCTACCACTTCCTGGCTTAAAACACTTTTCTTGAGACAGAGTCCATGTGACCCAGGCTGACCCAGAATTAGGAATCCAGTGGACTCAGCTTCCCGAGTGTTGGGTCCATCTGGCTCCCTCCTTTGTTCTCTATTGCTTTAATTCGCAGTAAGTGTTTTGTAAACTATGTTCATCAGTGCCCAGGCACTACAGAGACAGTGCTCTCATAACGGACTCATGATTCTCAGTGATGAGGGCTCTTGTTAGAACTCAATAGCTGGACACTGGAGCAAGGAGTAAATGGCAGGCTCTGCCCATTGTGCACATCTGACTCCCATGCAAGGTGGTTCATTCTCAAACAGAAAAGAGGCAGAGACCAAGACAACAAGAAAGCCTGCTTTTGTTTTTACTGGAGGCTCAGGTGGCACATGACAGTTCATAAAATGGCTTCAGAGGTGTTGGGGGGAGGTCGAAGGGAAACAAAAAATAAATGGGTGGGAAAGAAAAATAATCAGGAGGAGGTTAAGAGCTGGCTGGTTCCTTCTCAGCCTGACTTAGGGGAGGGAGGTGGTGCCTCTGAACAGTAAGGATGGATCCCTTCCTTCAACCCTTGGGAGGGGAGAGGGGAAAAAAGAGAAAAAAGCCAAAGGCTGTTGCTTTGGCCCTCCTGAGTCTCAAGGGAAAAGCCGATGTTTTGATGTCATGAATTATGGGATAGGGGGGAGGGGGATGCTGGGTAGAGTCAGTTGGAAACTGGCAGATACCTAAGAGGGAAAAAAAGACAAATCATAAAAGGATAATTTAGCAGAACCCAGTCCCTGGCCTTTTTAATCATCTGCCTTGAGAGGAACTCTCACCAGATGGTAGCTCTGGGTGTCCTCTGAGGTGGAATCACTCCAGTATGGTGGTGGGGGGGTCCCCACTGTTGATAGGTGCTGAGGTCTAAAGAAAGCCGTGGCTAATTAAGACTTGTTACATCCTACCTTCCACTTTTCCCTAACTTTCCTCTTCTCATACCTTCCAACCAACTCCCACAGATCACACTCCCAACAGCTGGGGATGGGGGTAGGGCATCCCTTCAAGGAAACCTGGACTTGATTGCCTGTGCTGGGGTTTCCTGGTGAATACAATGCCTGCCAGGGGTGGGCCAAGCAGGCTGGCAGGAAGAACAGGGACAAGGAAAGCAGAGGTTCAAAAGGACTGAAGTTAGAAGCAAAGGAAAAGGGCAGAAAGGAGGGTAACTGAACTTGGGCAACCAAGACCCTCACCTCTGCGGCTATAGGCTGCCGGGGGCCAGGGGGCTGCTGCCGACGCCGCTGGAAGTAGGGGCGGTTTCGTGGACGCTGGGGCTCAGGCCGGGAACCATCAGTGGGGCCTTGGTTGGGCTTGGTCTCGCCATCCCCACCTTCTGTGGTAGGCTGTTGGGGTGGCCTGGGGCGGAAAGGCCTAGAAAGAGAAAGACTGACAGGACCAGGGCACCCAGGGTAGACTCCCTTCTCCCAGGATTCCTGTTTTCTTATCCCCACCTGTTCCAGGCTCTTAGAACTCTTGTCCTTTTACATGGGCCCAACACTGCACCCTGAAGGGGAAGACACAAGTGAAGTCTTACCTTCGGTACCTAGGCCGGAATCTGGGTGGGGGCACCCGTTCATCTCCCTGCTGTTGGTCCCCCTCCAATGGGGCTGTCTCCTTGGGTTCTACCCCGTCGGAGCCCTGGGAATATACAAGGCCTAGGTGAGCTATTGAGCTCCCCTGCTGTCTGTCCCTGGGCCAGGTAATCCTTGGCTCTTCCTAGTCTCAGTACTACTTCCTTTGAGGATTCTGTGGTCTCTGCCCCCCACCACAACTGGCCCACTTCTTTCCAGAAGTGGAGAGCTGGCTCCCTGACTGCAACTCTGTCTCACCTCTATGGGCTGCTGCTGATTGGGGGGCCGAGGGCCTCGCACAAACCGCCTTCGATAGAAGAAGGGTGGTGGGCGCCGTCGTCTAGGTCGCTGCCCTGAGTCCTCTGCCCGCTCCCCTTCGCTGCCAGGTTTAGTCCCACCCGAGGGAGCCTCTGCCACCATGGGTGGTGGGGCAGCTGGGCGAGGCCTCGGGAAGAATCTGCGGAACCTACGTCGATTTGGGGCATAGCGGCTGCCCTTCACTGGCACCCCCCCAGGCCCAGTTACATTAGCAGCTTCTGCACCCTGGGGAGGCAGAGAGGGAGCAGTCAGAACTTGCCCTGATAACAAACACAAAGCACTTACAAACCTGTCAGATCACTAGTGTCCCCCTTCTTCTGGCCCAAGTCCTCTATCCTGCTGCTCCTCAAAATCACTCCTTTCTCCCCTCCCCCCAGGGGCAGCAGAAGGAGTTTGTACCCATCTGAGAAGAAACAACTTGTCCTTAGAAATAACTGCCACATTCCCCCCATTGTGTAAAAGACAGGACAGGATGAGATAGAGAGAGCCACTGTCCCTCCTTCACTCCAGAGGACTGACTGAGGGTCCTGTTAGGGCTGGGGTCCCCTGTAGAAAACAGACATGGAAGTGCTTGGTGAACTACAGAGAAGAAACCCAGTTGTTACTGGCTGGTAACAGGGATGGACTCTTTAGGACACGTCCTAGAACAGCCCTAGCATTCGATAACATCCAGGTGAGAGAGCACAGGCCCCATCCCCACAATCAGCCAGAGCTGGTCCCGGAGGGTCAAAGCCTAGGCCAACAACCAGGCCACCCTCCCACAGCCCTGGCCAACCCCACCCCACAGCAGCTCCCAAACCTTCTCTCCTTCGACGACATCAAACTCCACAGTCTCCCCATCTCCAACACTTCGCAGAAACTTCCTGGGGTTGTTTCTCTTAATAGCTGTCTGGTTGGGGGAAAAGTCATGAGAGAAAGGTGAGGGCAGAGACCACCATCTCTGTCACCAGCTTCAGCCTCCACCCAACTCCACTGTGACATTTACTGGAGTCTCCTAGGGCTGAGGGGCAGAGTAAGAAAGTGTTCAAAGTAGTAGGGGAGGGCCTGGAGCACAGCTCCACCACAGTACCACAAGAAAATGTATTAGTAGGGGAAAGTCATGAAGGAGAGTTCTGAGGGATCCACTGTAAAGCCACCACTGTCCCCAAGACATCCTCCCTTCTCCCTTTACCCCTCAAGGACTTCAAAAAATGGAGGCAGCAGAAACTCAAAAGCAAAACAAAGGCTGAAATGGTCTTAAGTTGCTTCTTACCTGGATCCCACTGAGCACTCTCTCCACCAGAGCAGTGGTTTTCAAACTAGCCAGTTATCAGAATCACCTGGGAGCATGTTAAAACAGAGTGCCCGGCCCCAGCCCCAAGGTTCATTAATTCAGTGGCTTGGGCAGGGCCTGACAATTCAGGTGATGCTGCTGCTAGTTCAGGGAACACACTGAGACTCGACTCTGCCTTGCCCTCGGAATATTGCCTGATTCCTTCCAGTGGTGTTAACAGGTCCCAGGAGGTGGTGAGCATGCTGTGCCCTGAGGGCAACATGCACAATTCTGACAGCTGTTCAGCAACTCAAGGAAAGTGGGGCTAATGGTGGTTCATAGAGGCAGGCACCTGAGGTAGATGGGAGGCCAGCTATTCCTCATGGGCAGGCCGTTGTGAAGTTAAAAGCCAGAGAAATATATTGTGTGCAGCTAGAAGTTGTGGCAAAGGCTTCCAAAGAGAGGGCGGGTGCCTCCCCTCAGAAAGCCAACCTAGCTCTTACCTGGTGAACAAAGACATCCTCCTTGGTGTCATTCCTGCAGAACAGGATGGGTGGTTAAGGGGGTGATGGGTAAGGCACTCAGTTCCACTGAGGCCCCCCTAGGTGCCCATTCCCAAGATGGGCCCATCCTCTCCACTGTTTCAGTTCCTGGGGGGAATAATGGGCACTGGGAACAAGAAGAGCAAGCCAGCAGGACCTCTAAAGCTGGTGCAAAGAGAATCATGCTGCAAATCCCCAGCGGAAAACTTGGACTTCATCAGGAAAAAGGCAGAAGGAAGCCGCAAAGGCACCTTGAAGGAGCCAGGACAGCTTCGCCTTCCACCCCAGGGGCACCTCAGAACCTGCTGGTGCCGGGTGTAACTGTCCCTGGCCAATATCCCCTCCTCCCCTCCTCAACCCTTGTTGGGGTTGGAAAATTCCACAGGCTCCTTCCTTCTGTGCTCCGAGAGAAAGCAGGGCCAGGGGCATACAATTGCGAGAAGAGAACGGGCCTAAGGTGCATTCTCCAAACAGCCAGCAGCCACGAAGCTTTATCTTCACCCTCAGCCTGGAGGTGAACCATAAACTCTCTACAAACTGAACAGATTGGAAAGACACACTCCCATTCTCTATCACTACCTAGCCTATGATTTTGGTTTACTTCCAAGACAGGGGATAGGAGGGATTCCTTGCAGGAAGCCGCCTTCCCCAGAACAAATGTTCTAAAGTACTTGGGTCTGCACAGAGGTCAGCCTGCAAAGAGGGAACTGAGGCTCCCAGGAGGGCTTGGCTGGGCAGGGTGCCTGGGCTGGGGAAGGCCACAGTAGGGGAGACCTGGCTCTACTTAGATTCTGCCACAGCCTTTCCCACAGCTTAGAGGGGTGGGGCTGCCAACTGAAGAGAAGCAACAGCCTCTGGCTGGGTAGGAACCCCCCACCAGCTTCAGTCCCATCAGGTGTGTTGGGGGGGGGCTCAAATGAGCCACAGCTCTTGAGAGAATGTGTGTAAGTGCCATGAGTGTTGCCCTTAACCAGGAAGCCAGTGAGGGCTCCAACCAGGAGCCCCTAACATTCTACCCCAAAGGGACAGCAAGCTAAAAATAATGAAGCAACTCCGGAAGGTGAAGACAGAGGAGCTGGGAAGGTCAGGGTCAGGTTTGCCAAGTTCCTGGATCATTAATCCCCTGCTGCCCTTCAAGATGTGGATACAGCATCACCTTGCCAGGAAGCACACATTTGTGCTGTGGTTAAAGACTCTCAACCAGCCTCAGCTGGACATGACAACCATGTGCCTTGGCAGGGGTGGAGATGAAATACGGTGTCCAGTCCCACAGGCCACTTAGGAAAAGACACCCGTTTCCGCCCCCTCCCTGGGCTCCTTGGATACCTGTTGATGAATCCGTAACCATTCCGGACGTTGAACCATTTGACAGTGCCCAGGACTTGGATTGCTGCCAGGCAGAGATGCAGTGGGGACAGTAAGATGGGGGAAGAGACGGAGTTGGGCTGAGTTTTGAGAGAAAACTAAGCTAGAATCTAACCTGCCTCCCTACTAAGTTTCGAGTCACCAGATCTCACCGGGAGCATCAAAGTATTCGTACCCTGGTTCTTCTACTAATTGGAATCACTCACACAGGGGATTCAGGCGTTCAAACCCACGTTCCTCACATCCTAAGAAGTTCAGGTCCTTCCCTTCACCTAGAACCGGGTACTCACCTGGTCCACCCTCAGGGTCAAAACTCAACAGCCTTCCTAGCCCTCCCAAATTTAAGGGTCCCCACTGCACCTGCTTCCCCAAGCTCAGAGCTTGACCTAGTAAGAACCGGAGTCAACTACACCAAGTCTCCCGCCAACCGGGGCGTGGCCGGGCCCTGAGGCTTTATTTTCCTACCCAAGGCCCAAGATGGAC